GGGGGGGCGGGGGGGGCCGGGGGGGGCCCCCCCCCCCCGCCGTCCCCCCCAAGGTGTGCGCCTGCCAGGTGCGGGCCACAGGGAAGATGTACGCCTGCAAGAAGCTGGAGAAGAAGCGGATCAAGAAGCGGAAAGGGGAGGCGATGGCCCTGAACGAGAAGCAGATCCTGGAGAAGGTCAACAGCCGGTTCGTGGTGCGTGTCGTGCTCTCTTGGGGGGCCGGGGAGCCGGGGGGGCCGGGGCCGGCGCTGACGGCCGGGGCGGGCATGCAGGTGAGCCTGGCGTATGCCTACGAGACAAAGGACGCGCTCTGCCTGGTGCTGACCATCATGAACGGCGGCGACCTCAAGTTCCACATCTACAACATGGGCAACCCCGGCTTCGAGGACGAGCGTGTGGTTTTCTACGCGGCGGAGATCTGCTGCGGGCTCCAGCACCTGCACCAGGAGGGCATCGTCTACCGGTGAGCGGGGCCTGGGCACGGGACCGGCAGGGTGGCCGGATGGGACCGCTCTGTGCTGAGCCATCTGTCCGTCTGTCCCGCAGGGACCTGAAGCCGGAGAACATCCTGCTGGATGATGATGGTGAGGAGGGAGCTACTGGGTCTGGCTCTGCCCATGCTCTTGGCTTTGGGGAGGGGTCTCCGCGTGCCTCCCGGAGGGTCTCTGGCTGTGTTTTGGGGAGGACGCGCAGGGATCTGGGGGGTCTCTGGCTGTGTTTTGGGGAGGACGCGCAGGGATCTGGGATGGCCCTTCCCTGGGATGCTGCCCTCCGTGCAGGGATCTGGGATGGCCCTTCCCTGGGATGCTGCCCTCTGTGCAGGGATGGCCCTTCCCTGGGATGCTGCCCTCTGTGCAGGGATCTGGGATGGCCCTTTCCTGGGATGCTGCCCTCCATGCAGAGGTCTAGGATGGCCCTTCCCTGGGATGCTGCCCTCCATGCAGGGCATCTTCCCTGGGATGATGCCCTCAACCCCCTCCCTGCCCTAGGCCACATCAGGATCTCTGACCTGGGGCTGGCTATCAAGATCCCCGAGGGCGAGACCATCCGCGGCCGCGTGGGCACCGTCGGCTACATGGGTGAGCGTGGGGGGCTGCGCCGGCCGGGCTGGCCCGGGGGTCCCTGTGCCGCGGTGAGCCTGGCCGCTGACGGTTTTGGGGCCGTGCCTCACAGCCCCGGAGGTGATCAACAACGAGCGCTACACCTTCAGCCCCGACTGGTGGGGCCTGGGCTGCCTGGTGTACGAGATGATCGAGGGGCAGTCGCCCTTCCGCGCCCGCAAGGAGCGGGTGAAGAGGGAGGAGGTGGAGAAGCGGGTGCAGGAGGACCAGGAGCTGTACTCGGACAAGTTCAGTGAGGATGCTCGGGCCATCTGCAAGATGGTGAGCTGGGGAGCGGCTGGTCCCTGCGGGGACCGGGGCTGGCTCCGTCCCCTCGCCGTGACTGCCCGTCCCCCTCCCCAGCTCCTGGCCAAGGACCCCAAGCAGCGGCTGGGCTGCGGGGCTGACGGGGCGGCCGAGGTGAAGCGCCATCCCTTCTTCAGGACCATCAACTTCAAGCGCCTGGAGGCCGGCATCATGACGCCCTCCTTCGTGCCGGACGTAAGGGGCAGGGCGGGGGTGGGCAGCCGCGGTGGGGGGCCAGCCCCGCTCCCCCCACTGACGCCTCTCTGGCTCCCACAGCCCCGGGCGGTTTACTGCAAGGATGTGCTGGACATCGAGCAGTTCTCGACGGTGAAAGGCGTCAACCTGGACCAAACCGACAACGATTTCTATGCCAAGTTCGCCACCGGCAGTGTCTCCATCCCCTGGCAGAACGAGGTACCGGGGGCACGGGGCACCGGGGGGGTCCGGCCCTGCTACAGCACCACCGGGGCTGCCCATGCCCATCCCCCCGGTGACCTGACCCCCCCAGATGATCGAGACTGAGTGCTTCAAGGACC